TTGGAAAAAATTCATGCCAACGTTTGCCTCATTCCATTAGTGCGATAATAAGCCAAATCAATATTCCACTAAATCGACAATAATAGTAAAGTCACTAATGACATTAAGCCTTATTACATTGAAATCTAATCTAGAAAGCAGTAAAGGACATTATCTCCTAATCTACTTGATCCTTGAAGGAACTTCTCCATGCTTGGCTCTCTTGACCCCATCAATCATATTCCCCAGATCACGCATGTCCAGTAGCAAATAAGCCTTGGCCAGCTTCCCTCCTTCATCATCGTCCATGCCTTGTCAATACCAAAGCCTCTTTCTCATCTTCCATTCTAGTTCCATCAATCCTTGCTCTAGATATTCTAACTTATCTGTCGACTTAGTGGCAATCTCTTTCCATTCTCTTATCGCCTCTATGTTCACTTTATGTTGTTCCAAATGCTTAGCTTCTAATTCGAACACCCTTTTGCGTAGCCTCTTATACTTCACCTGTGCTTCATCCACCTCATCTATATATGATCCTATCTTTCAGATTGACTCCCGGTTTGACATCCCCGGCTATGTCGTCCTCCAACCACGAGATATAGTAATACATATTACTGGCGTGATACCTGTCTGGTTCAATGGTTTCTCCTTCCACAATGATATTTTGGTTCCACATGTGTTGTGCTTCGAACTTGAATGGGATGGCATCCCCTTTGAAATCCTCCTTATACTGAACCATGTTGGAAACCCGAGGTATGACTTGTTTCCTTCCAGCTTGCCTCATTACCCTTATAGGAGCATAAAGATAGATGCCTCGCAGCCCGATCAGTACTAAGTGAGTAGTTCCTTTGGATTTGATAATGGAATCACTACTAGGAAACCATTCAAACATCCAATGCACTTGCTCATCTGTCAGATTGCTGAAGAAACGCACCCAGCCTACAGCATTTCCAGGCTTTGCAAACCTGTCTGGAATGAACGCCATCTTCTTTGGATGATGACTAGTTATGTAGTCATTCAGTGTCCTGCGCAGAAGCTCCTGGAGATACTCACCCCTCTGAAAGTGTTCCAGCAGCCAAACTTGGAGCAAGAGATTACAACCCTCAAAGTGTCCGGACCCATGCTTGCATCGATCCAGAGCACGGTACATCTCGGCTAAGATTATCGGGATAATAGTGTACTTTTGCCCCTCGATACCCTCCATTAAGGTCCTGGCGACCATGGCTAAACGAGTATGAATTATTCCCCCTTGCATCGAAAAGATCAATAGACCTAGAAAACAGACTATGAAAACATAAACTCGGCGGTGCACCTATTCCAAAGAGGTAATGGCTAGCTCCTCATGATGAAGGCGATATGATTTGCTATGCCCATAACACTCATAGAGAAATTCAAAGGGGATGTATGATTTCTTCAGACAGACCAACTCATCATTCTTCTTAAAACCCAACATTTTCAGAAAACTGCGTGGAGTGCGATTCTCTGGCACCAATAGTCCTGGACTATCCCATGGTAACTTGGTGAAACCCCTTATTTCTTCGAGGAGAGGAGTCATTTCTATATTGCCAAATCGAAAAACAACTCTCTTATCATCCCAGAACATGGTAGCAGCCTCGATCAGTTCCCTATTTGGTTGAATGTTCAACAAAGATGGCATGTTACCAGTATTTGAAGTGCGATTTCTGGTTGGGAGTTTTTTGGCTATCTGTAGATTTAGATTAAAAACAAAAGTTATTTATTATTTTCTTAATATTTAGAATGGTTATTTAATTATTTTCCTACTATTTACCACTTCAAAATCAGCTAAAAATAAAATAAAATTGCTTATTAAATATTTTTTTAATTTCAACTATGTCATAATAATGAGTATTTTAAATCAATTAAAACTCTTCTAAAATTCTAGATTCTGTAGAAAACTATCGGTAGTTGTCCTATTTAGTTGTACAAGTTGCATTTTATTATGGATCGTTTTTTTTTTCAAGTTATGCTACATCTGTTATCTATGAAAATTTGTTAATTACTCTATTTTGTGGTCATATTTTTCTTTTGGGTTAAGAATATTGTGTATTGAGTGTCTCTATTTGGTTTCTTTGTTACATTGGTGTAATGGACGATTAAACATTTAGGAGTCACCTAATTTCATGTTCTATCGTTGTTGATATAATTCAAGTTCATTGTTATGGGATATAATTTGCATGAAAGTTTCTTCAGTCTTTATGTGGTGATAGCATGTCTTTTAAGGAAACGCTCGATTCTTTAGATTTTTCTTAATGATGCAAAACCAGCAAAGCTAATTAAAAAATATTGTAGGGATAAAAGTCAATTAATTTATTATCACCGTCTTTTATCTTAGTCTGTCCAATTGCTAAAGCAATATGCTTTCTTTCATATAATTTGGAAAGAACTACAGGAAGTGTTCCCATGAATTTTGAACTTATAAGAATCAAATTATTGATTTTGGCTACTCATCAATGTTTACTCATCTTTCATATTCATTCGAAAGCAATATTTAGCACTTTTTGGCTTCGTGATGATGCTAAATATGGTCAAATGTATATGATAATCATTTATCAACTTGAACTTATTTTTTTTCCTTCAATTTATGCATAACTTTTTACACATACTCTAATGGAGTATTATTTATACCATTCTTATAAAAAAACAAATTTCACATTCAAGAAAATTGTAATTTTATTTACTTTTATAATATTTAGGACTTTAAGAAAAAAACCTAAACAAAATTCTTACCAAAGCATTTCTTATTTGAACTAGGTAAAACGTCCTAATATTAAAGATTTTAAAATCAACTAAAATTTACCTAATAAAAGTCATTAAAATATCACTAGTAACCGAAAACTAAACCATAAACCATTGGGAAGGAGTAACTCCTCACCAAATCATTAAAAAATAAAAATAGAGAAGAATCGTTCTTTCAAATATTATTTCTGATAAGTTAGGCTTGCTCAATTGATAAAAGCACCTCCGCTCACGACCGTTAGGTCCTGGGTTCGAGTCACGTTGGAGGGGAAGTATGGAAATACTATAGATCTTCATAATTAGGGAGAGATTTATAAAAAAAAATAAAAGATAATATTATTTCTTGTTATTAATTTATTAATTGATTTTATTATTTTCTTTATATAGACCAACATAAAGGTGCTTATGCCATTGGGAGGATAAACAAGTATATTGAATCAAATCCAACAATGTCAAATGATGGAAACTATAGTAAACATGACCACAAAATTTCAGGTAAATATCAGATAGTAGTAACTATTATTAGTATTAGTTTGCATAATCTATCTCATATTATAATGTACATAATTTAGTAATATTATTCATATAACTTATAGTGTTATACTCACTAAGATAAGGTACACGCATAAAATGCATACGCTAAAACTAGTTCTTTTAAAGAAGTATGCAGAAGTATTTGAATTATGTGCAATAGCGTGAAAGCAAGAGTAGACATAAAGGTGAACCAAAAAAATCTTCTTTGTCTGAGAGTGAAATAATATGATAGTTGGAAGCTGACCTGCACATATATGCCTACATGTATCTCTGTAGCATCATTGGGTGAAAGTAGGTTTGGTGCTGGATTTAGTAAAAGTATAAATGTTTTATTATAGTATTTGAAGTTCGAATCCTGGTTGTCATATTTTCGGACAACTTGCAGAGTTTATTTAATAAGAATGCTAAGAATTGTTTCAGAAAAAGTATATACCAGATAAAACAACCAATTACGTACCCTTTTTCTCTAGCGTCAAGAAGTTGATCGATAAATTCTTGCCACTAAGGCAAATGCAAAACAGATCTCTCTTTTTCCCATAATAGACTTTACTTTTCCTAGGAAAATCTTAGCTTTCATTGAGTTAGGACGTTGGAAATGGATGTCAGACTTGAATTATGTACCATAAGGAATGTTCCAGTGGTTGCTCTCTCTCTCTCTCTCTCTTTTGGGTTTATGCACTTAATTTCCACTAAAATTTTATATAACAATCACGAGATAGAGGAGAAGCAGTAGTATAATTAGGTTTAAGTTCCTATTTGAGGGTAATATTTCTTTTTTTTTTTATTTCAATTTTTAATTTTTCTATGTAAGTATCACTGGAGATATCATACATCATATTTTGCTCTGCAAATTGATATTACATGAAACACTTAATGAGGTTTTGGGGGAGACAGAAGACTCGAGGCTGAATTTGTTTGCTTGTGGTTGAAAGAAATGGGTTAGCATTTCAACACTTGATTTTTTTCACCCATTTTTTAAGCTCCATTCAACTGAAACTTGCGTCATCCCTGACTTCTTAAAATACTGACTTTATTGTCGTTGCTTTTAATTGAATACCAGTGATTCACGTGACTGTACGCTGCTTTTATTTGTTTAACTAGTTTCTGGACCTCATATTAATGAGTACCAAATTTATTAAAAGTGACATAAAATCTTATTAAAGATATGTTGGACTCATAACATTAAAATTGTTAAAAGAAAAAAGTGCAAGTTTTTGAAAATAATGAATATTGATTTTTTTTAGCTAACTCAATAAAGAAAAAATCCTGGCGGACAGAAATTCTTAAAATTGTAAATTCTACATATATATAAGCTATGTATTTGCTTTAAAAGTCCAAATAGAGTAGCACAATACACAATGTGCTAATCATATTGACATTATCCGCAACACTATTTTTGTCCTATGTATGACTTACGTTTTGAGGAAATAACTTGAAAAAGCAAGTTTGTATGGCACAAAGCATGCACAGTCCAAGATGAAAAAATATATTTAACATGAAGAATCGCAATTATGAGAACATGAAAAATTATCTCTAAGCTTCTTTCGCACTAAGAATGTGTGGCGTTTAACATGACCATGTCTATGTTTGATCTAATCGAAATGTGTCTATTGCAGATTAAAAATACTTCCAACCCCCTATTCGACCTAACTTCAGCATTTTTTTTTTTTTGAAAAAGATTAGAGCTTTAAATAAAATAACATATCTTTGATTAACATAGAAGAGCAGCTCCTCACAGCAGGTCAGTATTTGAACTACGGATTCCTTCAAAATCAAAATTGATAACAAAATAAATACCAAAAGTAAAACAGGAGACCCAAGAAACAGTCTGAGGGCAATGCCTGCTGAAGACTTCAGGATAGAAGGAATCAGCTGAAGCTTAGGTGATGCCCTGTTGAATACTCCAGGTTAGTAGGAGTGTGGTATCAGAAAGACTCCTAATTGATTATTCTTATGCTCTTATCTTGCATCTCTTACTCTTTGCCGACCCATCTTTCAGTTTTTTCCCAACCTCACTAGTCTCTTCTTTCCATCTTTCAAAGACAATTTACTCTTCTTCTGTTTCTGAGCACTTTTCAACTTCTTGGCTTTCTTCTCACCATTCAACTCACTCAGAACATCACCACGCTTCTCAGTATTTTTCAACTTTTTGGCTTTCTTCTCAGCATCCTTCTCAGTTTTCCCCTTCTTTGTTTTCTCAACTCCATCATCCTCATTCTCCTCGATATCTTCATCACTGTTGTCCTCTTCAGCATCATTGCCAACATTTTCTGCCATATTACCAACATCATCATCATCATCATCTATTGTATATGGTAAAATATGATATGACACGTAGGACACATGGAATCCAAGATGGGATGATTCAGGACCGAACGCAACCACTATGCTTGTCGCCGAAATTGATAACGTTCATAAAAGTGTATTAAAAACTTTGCGCCCGGTAGTATTTATTAAGGAATATTCTACAACATTAAATTCGTTACAGAGAATTTGACATTTATGCTCAATATTACATCTCAATCAATGACCCTCATAATTGGTATTAAAGGAGGGCATGATCCTAGGACCTTTTTCCTTAGGCATAACTATAAATAGTGAGTTCAGTTACCATTATAAATGACACGAAATTTCTGGCAAGAACATATATTATATTCTATATAAAACTTTATACAATTTCACTCTCTTGCTTTTTGATCCCATCATTGCTGTGTTCAGAAACCGTGTTCACGGAATCACTATCTTTGCTATTTTATCTACATTCCAAGGCTATGTACTGCGTATTTTTTCGATTATTATATTATTTTAGGATCAAATTAGTTCACTTATCTAGAAACTACGTATAAATTTAACTGCACCGTTTTACCGGTAAACAGTTTGGCACCCACCGTGGGGCCTAGACAGCCGTGCAATTAAATTGATCCTTGCCTCTTTTACTAACGTGTTTGACTATTTTTGTCTTAGTAAAAATCATAAAAATGGCAGATAACACTGTTAACGATGCACACAACCCCAAAATTCGAGGGGATCAACCTCATTTCGATGACTCAATCAATGACACCCGCAATGAGGGGAATGACGCCACACCGGTGCATGACAGACGGTACCTTCGATAGGTTTGGGAAAGAATTACCGATGATGCTGACGAGCAGCAAGTAGCGAATGCTGTGAGGATCCTGCAAGAGCAACATGCAATCATTCTAGGCCATCTCACGCGGCAGGATCAGGTTATGACGGAACTGAAATAGGTGCTATCAGGTGCTTCGAATAATGCGAAGAGGCACGATCCGATTCCTTCTGTTGTTCTCACAGACCAAACAACACAAAGAATTGATAACAACACTCCCAAGGGTTAAGTTTTCTCCGATGGGGCTGGGGGGAGCAGATCAGGTCTTAATAACGAGAATGATTCATGGTAAGTGAACGCTCGCATGGATCAAATCCCCGGCGCACCACCAGTATTGAAAGGCCCAAACTCGAAGAAGTATGTTCAATTACCGTACAAGCCAAGTGCGGCACTGGCACTGATCCCGAAGCATTTCAAAATGCATGAAGTTCCAAAGTATGATGGAACTTCAGACCCACAGGAATATATTACCACTTACACAACGGCGGTGAAAGGAAACGATCTAGCTCCTCACGAAATTGAATTTGTGTTGCTAAAGAAATTCGGCGAAACTCTCACGAGGGGAGCCCTAACGTGGTATTCATTACTGCCCGAGCATTCCATAGATTTCTTTGAGATGTTCGCGAATTCTTTCATTAAAGCTCACATCGCGGCCAGAAAGGTGCAAGCCCGGAAGGCCGACATATTCAAAATCGCACAAGGAGAATTAGAATTGTTACGAGAGTTTGTCACCCGGTTCCAGAAAGAAAGAATGTTACTCCCGGCCGTCCCGGATGAATGGACAGCTGAAGCATTCACCAAAGGATTGAATCCGAGAGGTTCAGACGCTTCCCGGAAGCTGAAGGAGAGCCTGTTTGACTTTCAAACAACAACCTGGGCAGATATTCATAACCGGTACGAGTCAAAGATAAGGATCGAAGATAAACAAGTCAGTTCTACATCATTAGCCAAAGGACGGGAGAAGAATAGAGAAAAACTAAAGGATGACTACGACGCAGATAGGCGGACTTCGAGGGGTCAGTTTTTACCCTACGAGCGTACCGAAGGCCGTGGCAGAAATGTTCGAGCAACAAACAAGTTTACCATTGACGGAGGGACTGATCGTGGTCGAAGCAATATATCACTTCAAGATAAACAAACGTCGGGGTATCAAGATCTTTCTTACCCCAGCTTATCAGAATATAACTTCAACGTCAGTGTAGTGGAACTAGTGTCAGCCATGAGGAGCATTAAAGAAACACGATTCCCAAGACCTATGAGGTACGATTCCAGCCAGAGGGATCCTAATTTATGGTGCGAATACCACGGGACAAACGGTCACCGGAAAAAGGACTGCCGACATCTTCGGGAGGAGGTGGCAATGCTATTGAAGAATGGTCATCTCCGAGAATTCTTGAGTGATCGAGCTAAGAACAATTACAGTCACAACAGAGACAACACGAAATCCTCGAAAGCAGGATAAGAAACCCCACGCCAAATGATCAACATGATCTTTAGGGGGAACGAGATTAACGGGGTCACCTTTTCGGCGGCAAAGAAGACTAAAGTATCGATAACTCATAGTATAATACTCCGGGAGGACGATATCACTTTCACAGAGGAAGACACAAACGGATTGCTATTACCACACAATGACGCACTGGTAATCTCATTAAATGTGTTAGATTTTAAAATTAAGCGTGTTCTAATGGATCCAGGAAGTTCGGCTAATATTATACAGTGGAGAGTATTGGAACAAGCTAAACTCACCGGACGCATTATTCCGGCGACAAAACTTCTCGCTGGATTCAACCTTGCGAGCGTGATGACCCGGGGAGAGATCGTTGCTGAAGGAGTAATGAAAACAACTCTCTTCGAAGTAGTGGATGGTGATATGGGATACAAAATCATCTTAGGAAGGCCATGGTTACATGAGATGAAAGTTGTACCTTTGACGTATCACCAATTGCTGAAGTTTCCGACACCCGAAGGAATCAAGCAGATAAGAGGTGACCAACCGGCAGCGAGGAAGATGAATGTAATCTCAGTTTCTAGTAGCAAAGGGAAGGAGCGCACAACATAGCAATTACAGGAACCGATGCCTACTCCCTAGTTAGAAGAGGTTATTCCAGGGGCAGAATCTTCAAAACAATATCAGGTGCCGAGATATTTCCAAGTTCCGGAAGAAACGGACGCAACGAAATCCACGACAGAGGAACTAGAGAAAGTGGCATTATTTGAAGAATTCTTAGAAAGAAAATTTCACTTGGGGGCATGGCTGCATCCCGAGCTCAGGTCTGGTTTTATTGAATTCCTTAAAATTAACATTGATTGTTTTGCATGGTCGCACGAGGATATGACAGGTATCCTGACAGAAATAGCCGTACACAAGCTGTGTTTGGATCCCAACGTACCACTGGTACGATAGAAGAAGCGCCCTATTGCTGAGGCCAGGAATAAATTCGTCAAAGAAGAGGTAAACCTTGACAAAATCAAGGCCATAGACGATATCCCAGATCAATTATCAAACATGAAGGAAGTCCAAAGACTCACAAAAAGGTTAGCAACTTTGATCAGGTTCATTTCCCGGTCGTCAGAAAAGTGTCATCGCTTCTTTACATTGCTAAAAAAGAAGAACAATTTCGAATGGACGTCGGAGTGCCAACACGCTTTGAGGGACCTGAAGAAGTACTTATCAAGCCCTCAATTGCTCTAGAAACCAAAAGAAGGCAAAACATTGCTAGTCTACCTCGCGGTTTCAGAATTTGCGGTAAGTGCGATTTTAGTTCGGGAGGACGAAGGTATGCAGTTTCCTATTTATTACGTTAGCAAAATTTTAACGGGAGCAGAAACTCACTACCCACATTTGGAAAAATTGGCCTTAGCTCTCGTAGTCGCTCCTCGAAAGCTGAGGCCCTATTTCCATTACCACCCAATAGTTGTGGTGACTACTTTCCCTTTGCGGAACATCCTTCATAAACCTGATCTCAGGCAGATTAGCCAATTGGGCCATCGAAATGAGTGAATTCGACATAGAATATAAACCAAGGACTGCAATTAAGTCACAAGTCTTTGCTGACTTCGCGGCCGATTTTAGTCTAGGACTGCTACCTTTGGCAACCAAGGAGGAAGTCATGGTGTCGAAATCGGCATTAGGGGTTTGGACCTTATTTACGGATGGAGCCTCGAACGTAAAAAGGTCCGGGCTCAGAATAGTTTTAATCAGGCCTTCAGGGGAAACCTTAAGGCAAGCCATCAACACGATCCCTTTAACTAACAATGAAGCATAGTATGAAGCTTTGATTGTAGGGCTCAAATTGGCCGGAGAACTTGATTCCGAGGTTATAGAAATCAAATACGACTCACAGCTGGTGGTAAATCAGGTTTACGGGATCTTTGATACCAAAGAAGTATGCAACAATACATGGTAAAGGTACAAGATATTTTGGCACGATTCCATGAGTGGTCAATAACTCTTATCCCGAGAGAGGATAATGCAGAAGCGAATGCATTAGCAAACATAGGTTCATCGACAGAAATAAAAGGATCGGAGTCCGGAATGATGGTACAACTGATGAGCTCAGTCCTTGATATGGATGGTTACTACGAGGTGAATTTGGCTAGTCTCGTCTGGGACTGGAGGAACGAAATAATCAACTACCTCGAGCACGAAAAGTTGCCCGACGATCCCAAAGCTTTACGAGCGTTGCGCACCAAAACTGCACGTTATAACTTTAGGAAAGGCCAATTATATAGAAAATATTTCCAAGGTCTGCTGGCTCGGTGTTTAGGAGCATTAGAAGCTGACTATGTCATGAGAGAAATCCATGAAGGGATATGCGGCAATCACTCAGGCGCAGAGTCTTTGGTGCTAAAATTGATACGAGCTGGATATTACTGGCCTCGTATGGAACAAGACGACAAAGATTTCGTACGAAAATGTGATTAGTGCCAACGCTACACATCACTTGTACATCGACCAGCAGAACCCTTACATTCGGTTCTGTCCCCATGGCTATTCATGAAATGGGGGATGTACATCGTCGGACCGCTGCCACCGGCTCCCGAAAATGTAAGTTTTCTTTTAATTTTGGCCGATTATTTATCTAAATAGGTGGAAGCATGTTCTTATTAGAAGATCAGAGAACGGGGAGTGGTCTATTTCCTGTTGGAAAATATAATTTGCAGGTTCGGAAT